ACGTACACGTACTACGACTACGACACGACACGACACACACACACACACACACACACACACACACACACACACACACACACACCCTATGTGGAGGTGCAATTTGAATTACGATACGATCGATCGACCGAGCATGCTGTGTCGTATGATATCGATAAATGGTAAATATCAACGTATATTCGCCTGAAGCGCTAACGATATAACAAATAATGGTAGTGAACAAACACGTAGAACGTCCCGTAATTATATAAACCTAAGCTATCGCGTGTATTCGTATATATATACTTTTCTACATGTTACGTATTGTATATATACACGTATGTATCGCTACAGTTATATATATATATGTATAATGCGCAATGATGCGTATTGTATGTGCACGCGTATTGCAATATAGGCAATATATATATAGCGTACTATACACATAACCTATATCAACGGAACACGTGTGCATATAACATACGTGTAAGGTTTACGCTAGACGCCTGCGCGATCTTTGCGATCTATCGACTTACCGCGTACATTCTCGAACGCAATTATCGATATCTTTCCATCTTTTATACCTCCTTTCTTCCATACAAACGCCACTCTCACGTCACGCATAAGCATGCACACTGTACGCGGTACGTGACATATATTGCACGTATGTATGAAAAAACGCTTACCAATGGAGACAGATAAATATATATATATATGTAAATATTAATAATATTTAATTAGTCACGGATTACGGTAAGTTTAATTTTCGTTTGGATTTCACCGCTGGTCCGTTATCGACTTAACAACTACTGGTATAGTATAATACATTAGGGTAGAACGAAAAAATTAGAAATTATGTTGTAATAGTGAAAAAAAACTTGTCTCTCTAACGTTATTATTAATCGTAATATTCTATATCTTAGTCTTACGTTTAAATTTATTGACGTTTTAGAATATCTAATATAAATGAGCAAATAATAGATTTCATCAGTCTACTTTGATAAATTCGTATTATCTAAAATTATTATATAGGCGTATATCGAGAAATGAATAAAAGTAATTTTTGAATAACTTACTTAAGCAGTTAAAGTTTTAAATTTGAAAGCTTCTTTTTAACAACTTAAACAAATCATCGTAGAAGACAATTTCAATTCACTATCATGACTAGCATCAAAAAGATTAGTTATCCTACTAATTCGTTCCACCCTACTATACATATATTAATCTATAAACCTTTATCGATCGATCATCTTTGCAAAATGGCCATGCAACAGACAGATCGAAATATTTCGGAAACAGAAGAATGCCGATCGTTATCCTTTACACGCTGATCTCAATGATCGCGCAGAGTAACGTTGTAGATACTTTCATCGGATAAGGCTGCATTAATTATTGTCTCTTTTGTTATCTCGTCTCGTGCTCGTTGAAAGTGTACCCTTGTCTCTCTTTCACCTTCTTCCGTCGATTCTAATTTCTTTGCAAAACCATCCTTCCGGTTTTATTTTTTATACTCCTCTATACTCACCTCGCAATAATAAATCTTATATTGTATATCATACTTTTCTTCTCTCTCTCTCTCTCTCTCTCTTTCGTTAATCCGCTCTTTAATTAATTAGCAGATATCGATATTACTTATATAACCTTTTCTTTTTTACGCAACGCATCGTTGCCTTATGCGTCTCGTATGCTAAAGTGTTGTAACAGCATTCGAACATTCGTTCTCGGTTCGTCTCGGAAGCATTCACGATTTATATCGCTCAATAACTTTTTAACATCATATTTATATTTTCGTTAAAGGACGTTAAAAGGTGAAAGAAGAAAGATAATACAGCGAAAAGAAACGCGTAAGGAAAACGTAAATATATAATAATTAAATTCGTAAAAAGATGAGTAGCGAGGATTGATTTAGCGTGATTGGATATTCATCGAGAAAAAGAGATTATAAATTTCAACGTGAAATTTGGTTAAGAACGATAGGCTAGTTAGCATTAGCAACGTCCATCGATTTTTTTCGAATTAGATACGTAACTTAATAACGTAAAAAGATATACAAAAGGCTAATATATTCGTGAAATCCTTTCGAAAACTCGATTCTAGAGGTAAAAACAAAAAATTGATCAAATAAATTAACGTTTACGAAGGTGAAGATGAAGCAAGGCGAAAACAGAGTATTACAATGGTGTAACGAAGATAAACAGATGTCACTCTTATCGACTTGCTTCATTTAATGCAATTTTCTTTTCAATTAATAAATAAGACTCAATCAATATTTTTATACATCAACTTTTGTTTGTTTTAGCCTTTAAAAAATGTTCCATGAATATATCAGCATTTTTAATTTAGAATTTTAATTTCGAAAATGAAAAAAAATTTTTCAACAGCATGTATAATCATTATGATAGAAATTATCAAGTATCAATTCTATTCTATACGATTGATAAAATATTTTAAAATAAAATTAGTAATCATAAAACTAGTAAAAATTAAACGATATAACGTGTGAACACTTGAAAAGAAAAAAAAAAAATTATAGTAAATCCTTATTCAACGTTCTACATCGCTTTTGTTGGTTCGAACGAACACGAATTACTTCATTGTGATTTAATCGTTTTATCAATATACTAATTTTCTATAATTAATGCGTTGATTAGAAAAATCTGTCAAAAAATTGTTTCTAGGAAAGTCAAGTTTTTTCCGCGTGAATAGATGGAGCTGATCCTTTTGCGTTGCGAATTGAAAAGAATTCGTTCATTTTAATTAACATACGCACACACGTATCTATATGGAAATACGTGTGCACATCGCGTGTATGTGCGTGATCAAAAACGACGCAATAAGAGAACAATGATGAATTTTTAAAACAACAATAATATAATTATTTGTATGCTAGTGTACACTGCAAATATGTATTAATGTGCAAAAATTAAATTAAAGAAAATGAAAACACGAATGAACGAATTAATAATCGCACGGACGGACGAATGATTACGCGATGCGAGGAAATGTCGACTCGATGTCAAGTTGCGAAAAATATTTAAAATGCGTATAATGATTTAGGGAATAATCATAATATATATGTATATATAAGTGTATATATGTATATAGATATAAGGGAAGCAAAGAATTGCTTTCAATTGGAAAAGTAATTTCATCAATAAAACTAGAATAGGAAGAGTCGAATAATAAAACAGCTTTGAAAGAGCAACGCGTCCCACGAAATCGAAATAAAAGATTTAACGAAAACGATTGTCTCGAGTCTTCAGTCTGCAATATTTTGCTCATCGACGATTCGAAGAGTTGATTCGATCAATCGAAACGCTTCTATCTTACTATTGTAGTTCTAAATGGCCTAATATTTAATAAATTAACGTTTATCAACGTTTTAATACTGTAAGTGTATTGTCCGTTTAATTGATTTCAAGCATACAAGTTATGCTAATGTTATTTTACGAATGAGCCTTCTCTCTTCTTGATTTTCTGTTTTTTTCTTCTTTTTTCTATTTTTCCGTTTTATTCTTCTTTTTTTTTTTTTTTAAAAGAAGGCTCGATCAACATTTTGCAAGACAACGAGTGGAAGAGAAATATTCAATGGAATACTGAGAAACTTGTTCGTTCGCGAAGATTGATTGATATTTTATTAAAAAGTGAAATTTATGCACTGTGGAAAATATATCGCTCAAATTTGAATAGATCGATTTAAAGAAAGTAAAAAAAAAAAAAAAAAAATACATATAAGTACTTATACATATTTATAAATAGATCCCGAGACAAACGTATTTAAAAAACACTTCGATCCTGATGCAAATTGTGATCTTGTAATCTTTTTTCTTTCATTCCTTTCTTACTTCTTGCAATTCTGATTTATAGATAGAAATTATTAAAGTAGTAAATAAGAAGCGAAAAAGGGTAGAAACAAGATTAGAAACGGAAGGCAGAAGAAAAAAAGAAAAAGAATAAAAAAGAGAAGAAGAAATATAAGAAGAAGGTGTTGAACGAAAGAAACAAGAGGAAAGAAATGTAAGAATTATAAAAAAAAGTAATTCGAAAATTCTTTCATTATGCATTAACCGTGTGGCATGTATATAATGTAATGAGATCGAGTGCAATGAGAACATTTTCATCGAGCATGCTGTCGGTTGCTTGTATGCGCGCGCACACACACACACATACATTCACACACACATGTACACGTATCCCCTCTTCTATTCTTCTCTCTCATCCTCCTCTTCAATCTCATTCCTAATGCTTCATTTTCCTCGCTGACTTCTATGCACGTTTTTTTTTTTAAAACGTGCTATAGCATGACGGAGGATTCATTTCACCAAAGATATTTAGCTCGTAGAGTGAGGCAAATGTGATAAACACCAAGTACCAAATCATCAGTATCACCCCGTACCGTCGATCTAACTTCCAACCATTCAAATGGGTCGCTAGTACTAAGAATATCACTGTTGACAGTAAAGATACTGTCGAATACGTCAGACCTGGCGATAAAAGAACAAGAATTTTTGATAGATTCGTTTTACATCCGTTAATTTCAATCAGACGAACGTAATCCATTAAATTTGTAACGGGTTCGAAATTTAATCCAACTCTTACCTCGACTGGTGACGTTCACGTGCGAGCCTGGCTGTATCATCGCAGTTTGTATAAACCAAGGAAGCCCGAGACAAACTAGAATATCGAAGACGTTACTTCCAACTGCGTTGCTCACCGCCATGTCGCCAAGTCCTTCTTTAATCACCGCCAATGATGAAAGAGCATCAGGTACGCTGACGCCAGCAGCGACAAATGTTAAACCCATCATCGTGTCGGGTATACCGAGAGTACTGCCTATGGAATATCGAATATCGGTGATGAAAAGAAATAGAACATAACGAAATAAAGACACATTGAAGTTTATTCTTTAATAATTGTTGGAAAATTTGTCTTACCTATAATCGTGATCATCCACACCATGATGTAACTATAGAAACTGATCCAAACCATCGATACGCAGAAGGTAAAGGGATACCAATTCCGAAATTTTTCTTGGCGGCAATCTGGCATCGTTGCGCGGCACATAAAATGAATCGGGTAAACAAGGCCCCACGTGAAAAGTGTCCATTTGCTGCCATCTGTAGGCTTCTCTAAAGGTGATATTTCGTTTGGATCTGGTTCCTTCGCTTTGTAATACTCTGGTTGTTTCGGAGGTGCCGCTTCGTTCGTTTCAGGTGCGGTTGGTCCTCCCGTTGCCGCTGTAGATAAGATGATCATTGTATTTTTTTACTTCTTATTTTATTTCTTTCCAATTGATATTGATTTCCATTTGATAGATAATAAGGTAATAGAATCATCTCCCATTTCAATAATCTTTTACGGAGTTTTTAATTTTCAAGATATTTGCAAAAAACGTTAGTTTAAATATATATAAATTTTCAAATATATATAAATATATATAAATTTTGCGTTTAATAGAGTGTAGCTTTTTTCTTTTGTACTCTCATCCTATAAAAATCTAATTCAAATCAAGTTCTATTTTAATTGTCCAAAAATGACTTTAAGTTAGATTAGATTCTTTATAGATTGAAGATGTATTTTTTATTATAACATATATGTATATATTTATACATAAATATTATAAATATTCACTCTTAATTTGAGAGGAAATCTTTAAAAAATATTCGGCAATTAAATATATACAATGATAAATATATTTTTGTGAATATTTCAAAAATTAAAATTAAAAGAATTCACTTATTATCGTTGGAAAAAGTTGTTCAAAATGATGAATTTTGATAATATATTTCAAGATCATAAACTAGAGGTAAGTCTACATATCTTTATCTTTTTTTTTCTGAAATAAATTACTTATAAGAAGTTAATTTATGAAAGTAAATCAAATCAGACATTCAAACACTTGTATCGTAATCGTGCGATTACCTTCATGTGTTTTATATTGATCCGTAGGAGAGCAAGGCCCTGTGTATGACAGTCGATCCTCTTGCAATGATCTGTAACTAACGAGAGCGCTTTCTTCCGCGGGTTCGTCGTCTTTTGGTAGAAAAGGTATATTGTAAGATTTCGCCCATCGTTCCAATCTACTGTTGAAAGATAACGCCACACAATATACACCGTACATAATCAACATGAACAATGATTCCATCCTGAAAGAGAAAATTTAATACATGATATTGCGAAGATATATCGTCGAAAAAAATAAATTTTGATAAAACTTTGAAATTCTCTTACCATGATATGGATTCGTTGTAAATTGTGCCGAGCATTATCAATATCGATACCGCGTAAAAGAACAATCCCGGCAAAGGGGCCACCAATTCAATTTTGACACTGTTGTTGTGCAAAGCCCGCAAACCGATATCACGAACATTATATTGAATACCGCGCTTCCAATCACACCGCTTATCTACAATCCCAACAGCAATTCGCTATAATTTTCTCATAATAATAATCTCGAATTTGAAATTTGAAATTCAATCAGACGTTAGATATTATTCTATATGATTTGATCAAGAACGAAATACTTACTCCAATATCATCTTTGGCAAAGAAAACACCAATTACCACAGTTGCCAATTCGGGGGCTGAGGAACCGGCAGCCATGAAAGTTGCTCCAGCAACATCAGGAGACAATCGTAGCTCTGTGTGCAAAATTTAAGATTTTTGTTAAGATCCTTTTGAATATTTCTAATAACAAAAAATTAATAACACAACTTTCACATTTCTCTTTTCAAAAATGAAGTTTTACCTTCGCAAATTCGGTCCAAACTGGAGACAAAATAATCGTCGCAAACGATGGCAAGGCCTAGAAAAGTGTAGATTGCGGCTAAAATATGGATGATCAATCCACCGTGTTCCTAGCTTGTGGGCCCATTAAAGGTCGTGGAAATTGTTCGATCGCTGGAGGTGAACAGTTTTCTCTTCGCGGTCTCCATGTTGCGCGCTCGTATTTTAAAGTGGTCGTTGATGGAACCTAGAATCTCGAATAAGCAATATCTCTTATTTGCGTCCAACCGAAAATCAAACGACCTCCAATGGAGAATCCAAAAACGGATTTGATAAAATATCAGAGTCTCACCGTTGTGGTTCTAGGAACATTCTTAGATAAAATCGTTGTGACTTCTTTCTTAGGGACCACCGCCTTTCCAACTAATTCCTCCTTTGACTTTTCATGCGCTTCCTTCGATTTTTCTTCCTCCTTTATCTTCTCTTCTTTGCCTTTCTGCTCTTGTTTGTCGCTGCCCACTTCCTCCTCCTTGCTCTTCCCTTCATTTTTTTCATCTATTTCTTTCGCTACACTTTCCACCGATAACGGCTCCTTGATAATCGTTTCCTCGACCGTGGTCGTAAACGACTCCAAGGTAGATTCTACGGTCCAGTTTTCCTCGCGATCCGTAGAACTGGGATAAGTGGAAGTCAGCTCTTCAGGTATTTTTGCACAAGTGATGTACTGAACTAACACATATACGATGAAGAGACCTATGCGCAAAGGCCGTCTTTTGCGCCGCGAATTACTTTGTAACTGAATTCGCCTCATTGTCTTCGACTGGAACATATTTCATGTAGATTTATAAACGTACGTGTCTTTTTTTTTTTTTATATCTAAATTGAAAAAAGAGAATTAAACTATTTATTTGCATTAATTAATGGGAAATTAAATAAATAGATAGAATTAGGTTAGTAGGTATTTTTTGTTATAATTCGATTTCTTTAGGTGGAAACATTTCTCAAAAATTAAAAGTTTGAGAAACTTGAGAACTTTTGAGAGATTTTGAGTAATTTTCTGTTTCCTTATATCTTGAATTTTATATTATGTATATGAAATAATTGTTAGAAAAAATATACAAAATTTTTTAAATTTATTTACTCCAAGATTGAAATTAATAACAGGAAAAAAAGAATTGAATCGCAGTATTGCTTGCATCTTTGTAAAATAAAGTTTTAAATAAATTAAAATTTTTTAGTTAATTGTAAACTATTTATTTTATTTCTATTATTCGAATTATTATAAATTGAAAATATTTGGAATTTTAGGATATTATCTATCCGAATAGAGAGATATATATAGGTCAGTTTCATTCGTAAAAGTATACTAGTTTGTGAGTAATGTTATGTAACTTTTATTTAACGTTCAACATATTTCAAGTTCCTCGATTTTGTAAATATTATATTTTAATTAATTAATAAAGCCATTAGCTGGCTTTGAATCCAATAAAATATTGAAAAAATTTAATTGTTTTTGTTCCAATATATATTACGTATCGATCGTAAGAAAGATACTTATTTAATGATTCGTAAAGCACACAAACACATTTGATATATACAGCTACCATATTAACTATATCAGGAATAACAATATTTAACGATAAATAAAGATGTTTTACGAACAAACAAACGAAGATATTTAAGAATATTTAAGAATACTTAATATTTGAATATTCAAATATTCTCTGAATAAACAAAAGAGATATAAATTTTTCATTCGAATATCTATTTTTATCAGAAAATAAAAAATTAACGAGAAGAAAATAATTTGATACAATTGTACGATAATTTTATAATCAATATTATGATAAAAAATAGAATATTTGTGTTAAATATAACACGATCAATAACACTTGTGTTAAAAATAAAAATATATATACGATATACGAAATATATATAAAATTGCATGTGAAATATATAGGTTTATTTATGGTTAATCCGATATATTATTTTTTCTGTTATATTCCAGTGTATTCAGATATTTTTTTTTACATATTTACAATTAATCATAGAAGTATTTGTTCCTTATATTATAAAAATTTAATTTTGTTTCTATATTTTTGACGAAGTTTAATATATACATAATGGATTATATATATGTGATAATTTTTTTCAATAGAACGTTCAAAGTTTACTTCTTCGTTTTTTTAGTTTCGTTTTTTATAATAACTTTGTAGTGATACGAGATAGAAATAAAAAAAATGATAAATTATAAAATTTTTAGTTTTCAATACTTATCATTGTTGTTTAAAATATATAAATGAAATTGTATTCAAAATACAAATCAAGAAATTTTGAAATTTTTAATTGATTGAAATTGATTTTACTTCCTTAAAAAAAAATTTTCCATTCCATAAAAAATTACTTCATTATGTTTTATATATATATAAACTTTTAATAAAATCAAGATTTTTGGATAAAATGAATTTTCTTATAATGTAAAATATTTCTATGATTGATTCTATATACTTTATATATATATTTAAAAAAATATCTATTAATTTATAAATAATGACATCTATTTCATATTAAAAGAAAAAATAGATTGTATTTTTTCGATCAAATGATTTTTATAGCTAAACATTTAAAATTATTATATAAAATTATATTAGATTTTGCAATCTGATCACAGAATTAATATATTCGTATTCTTCATATAAAAATAATAAAAAATAACAAAAAAATAAAATAAATCTTTCTGTTATTATTTTCACTCAATTATTTTGTAAAAATCATTAAAAAAAAAAATCATTAAATTTAATTGAAAGAAAACTTGTACATTTTTTCAATATGTTTTTTTTATATTCGAATTATTTCTTTCTGCTCTATTTGATTTTTATGCTTATTTTTATAGATAACGATCGAAATTTAAATATGGACGAATTAGAAATCAAAAAGATATTCGATTAACAATTAAAAATTATTAAAATTGAAAAAATTATTTGTTAATCCATTGAGTAAATAAGTCTTCACGTGATCTAAATATTTGAAACTCTGTAAATGTATATAATACATTTAGTAGCAAACGAAATATAGATACAGAAACCATAAAATTACGTATCAAATTATTAAAGTGGAGATTCCCGTTTCGTATCACAACTATATAATTATAATAAAAAGATAATATAATTAACTTCTTGCTACATATAAAATTTAACTGCGATAAGAATTTCGATAAGAATATTTGTGATGAAATATGAATATGTTTCAAAATCGAAATAACATCGTAACAAAGTTTAAACAGAACAGTTTTTTCATCGACAATACCGAAATAATTTTAGTTACAATTAGCACATGAATATAAGAGCGTGGGGAAAATGAAATTGTTAGTGAAAGTGACCCAATTCGAGGTTTCTACCGATCGTTAAATGGTAGAACACGGCGTATGTATGTATGTATGGTAGCTCGCAGTCCGGCTTACCCCTTTCTCAGAAACGTTGCACATTATGCACCAGCAAATTCGACGTCGCCAATGTCTTAAAACAAATGTCTTAAAACATGCAATCAGCACCGATTATCGTCACGCAAAAGGTGGTTTAACAATCAGCCATTTAATAATCGAAAACACCCTTTTGATTTTTTTTACACTCAATAATCCGTGGAGGTTTCTATCGCGAAGGAAACTCGGTATCGAATGCCGAGTGTTGTCTACCGTCAACGTCGTTGTTACTGTTGTTCGAAAACAGAGATATTAAATATATTCTATTAAAGTAAAGGCAAACTTTATCGCTGCGTCGTACTCGAATTATTGATTTGCATAAAAACTGTCAGTTACAATGCGTTCTCGATGTGTTTGCGCGGTACGTAGGCGTCGTCTTCTTGGAAACGTAGGTGTCGTGCTTACTGAACCACCCTCGAGTTAATACAACGTCCAATATCGTTGTTTCCTTTCATCGATGACTCAGACATTCTTATGCCGTATATAAAATATATATAATATGAAAATCCTATGCTTTCACATCCCTTATCTTTTATTTCATTATTTTCATGTATTTTTTTGTCCCCCCCCTCCTCTCTTCTTTACTTTATCCGCTTTGATTTTTCTTATTGTATTGAAATCCGTTGTATTTTTAATTTTTCTCGATTCGTTCCCCCTTTTTTTTTTTCTTTTTTTTCCAATTTTCGCACTGTTTGTATGTGTTTACGAGGCCATTCCTAAACACTCATACAGACTTTTCATTTTAACGATCTTTACTCGCACATACCACCCACATCCACCGACCGATACACCATTTATCGTTTGACTGCAACCGCCTGTTTCACTACGTTTATGCGCTGCTCACGAATGAATCCTTTCGCATCTCTTCTCGTACACCATTGCCACCACTCTCCTTTACTATAGCTCGCTCTCTCTCTTTCCCTCCCATATATCTATATATTTTATACTTACACCAACATGTGAGCATGCGCGCACGTGAAACCACCCTGAAGTACCAATCCACCTACACGCGCACGCGTACGTGCATACATCTACACATAATCCTCTATCTTTTTTCTTTTATTCGCATCCCTTTGATACTAACTGTATCAGATGAATGCGCATGCGCGCCGCTATCAAAATGTCACTATCTGCTATGTGCATTATAACAAAAATGAAAATTGAATGAATAAATTAATGATAACTAACGAAGAAAGAAAGGAGAAAAAAGAAATGAGTAGACAGCTTCACATGAAATTAACTATATTTAACTATATTTAGACGAATAACAAATTGAATATAAATATATAGGATGAATACAATCATGTAAGATGAAGGAAAGATGTATAGGATATGAACCTAAACATGTATATTGAGACCAAAGTATAAGGAAGCAAACATAACAATCCATCCTTATCTTTACGCGATTTCTGCTGTTGTTCATTCGTTGCATCTGTATTTTTTAAAATCGTTCATTCGTTCGAGTTTCCTATATTTTCAATTGTATAAGATAAAAATAGTTTTTTGTTTATAGTTTGCTGAATTTGTACATATATATATATATAATAAGATCATTATATATGTAGCGAAAAAAGAGAGGAAGAGTTTATATAAATCATGTCACCGTCCAAAGATAAATGCTAAAAATATCAAGGATTCACAATCTACTAGTTTTTTTATTATTCATAAATGTTATCATTTAATATTCTTTTGCAAATAAAATTTTCGTTATATTTATTAATTATTCGACGCTCATCGATCGAAACATTAATTGGAGTAGATACCAAGGAAACTATAAATCAACAATGTAACAAGCGACATGCAATTGTAAATAAAATTGATGTGTCAAAATATATGACAAGTAAATAATCTAATAAATAATTATTTTACGCCGTATATGATGAACGTAAGAACGTATACTTACTCCGTTTATAATTCGTAAATCTTGTGCCGTATTCGAGTAATCAGTCACAATATTGTAAGTTTTGAAACAAATTTTATCAAATGTTAATTGGTAGTGAAATAAGCTAACTTCGTATCGTCGTAAAATCGAACGAGATTTTACGATTTTACGTTTTTCTATATACAAATACAAATTTCAATATCTTCGTCTAAATATCTATTATAATGTTTATATTTTTATTACAACAAGCACACACCATTCAAGCAGAATTTACATAGGTATGTATGTATCAATATTCCGTGACATGTTTTCAGAATCCATACTTATGACGTTTAATATATATATCAATTATTGTATTATCTAGGATTTTGATGAAACTTCACAGAGTAACCACCGCTATTTGGATCTTTTTGTAGTTCAAAATTATTCGTGGAAAGTCCAAAAGGTTTCAATACCATATTTCCTAAATCTTTCAATTTTCCCAACATTTCAGCTTTCAATTTTTCATTTCTTTCATGAATCAATGGAGGTAATCTCTGTGAAAGAAATTAATGTTAATAAATAATATTAATAATGAATATTACAGAATAAAAGAAATATATTTTCATAATTACTCGAACTGCATAATTTGCCTCTGTATGACCAGGATCAAAAGTTAAAATCTTTTTGAAATCTTCCAAAGCTTCGTCTAATTTCTCTGTCTCTTCATATAGTCGAGCCCTTCTAGCATATACTTTCACATAACTTGGATTTAATTCTATAGCTTTCGTGCAATCAGATATTGCAGATTCTCTATCCTATTTAAATAATATTATATAAATATTAGAATTAAAAAATTGTTTCTTTGAAAAGTATATTCTTCATATAATAGCATTACCAAACATTTTAACTTTGCAGCAGCTCTGTTGGCATACAAAATGGATCTCTCTTTACTATAGGCTAATGGACAAGTTTGAATTCCTTGCGTATAAACAGATATTGCTTCAAGGTATTCTTCGCGTTTAAATAAATCATTTCCTTCATTTTTATATTTTTCTGCTTCTGCTTTAAGAGTCTGAAAAAAGAAAAAAAATATATAAATTTTGTGATGTGTTTTTATCATTTTTAAAATTCTAAAAAATCTAAAAATTATATAAATAAATACAAACTTCTTTTTCTTCTTCAGAAAGATTTTGTTCTCTTTCTTTTAATATCTCTTCATCCATATTATCTTTTTCATGATTTGCATCCCCTTTACACTTTGTTTCCCAATTATCATCATCATTACTGTTTCGTTTTATACGTTCATTGCAATCATTCGATAGATTACCATTTTTCGATTCTTGGATATTGTCGTTTGACGTAGTATAATTATCATTTTCTTTGATACAAGAACTTTCTAGATCTTTCGTAAGCTCTTCTATAATTTCTTCATTCGTTTTTAAACGTTCAGATTTGTCGTCCATCGCGGCGTTGTTTTTTACGTGATGATTTAATACCTGATCTTAACGTATACAACCAATCATTAAGGTTAACTACAGCATTACATGCACAAGCAGACGACTCTGAACTTGTATGTCAACTATGGTTGGAGATTACGTTGACGTTTCTTCGTAATTCACACATTTGTCATCAGAGAGCGCTTTATGCGACTATAATGACATCTATTTCCGATCTTTTATCTATAACATAGGAAATATATAACTTTTCTTAATAAAAATAAACCATTTAAGAGAAAATCCAAAATAGGTAATGATTTTTGTTATTTTGATAAAAAAATAATTCATGTTTTCCATGTTCAGAAAAAATTTTATTTATACGTAGCAAATATAATTCATAATTTTTACGAATATAAATAAAAATTAAATAATGCAATGAATAGTTTATTTTAAATATTTAATGTATGTATTTTTATATTATTAATATAATATATTTTCATATTTTTACACTTTTAAATTTTTTCGTAGGTACGTAAATATTGATATTATAATAAATTTTTATGTTTGTTTTTATTTAGTACATAAACAATATGAAACTCTAGTTTAAAATCATATTATTTTAATACTATTCTAATAAAAAGAATGTATATATATTCTTTTCTATAATATATATATATATATATATTTTACTATAAATATTTTATGTTTCATTAATGAATAAAGACAATAATTATTAAATTATTCTTTTTTCTTTTTTTATGTTTTATACTTTATGCATATTTCAATATAGCATAAATTATGTTCAAAGGAAAATAAATTATTTGTACGTGTATGGAACAATGAAAGAGGAGAAATTATATCCAACTAGAAATGATCAGAGTAAACCTAGGAATATTGTAAGTACGTGCTCTAGTCTCATTAACCTTACCAGCTCGTCGAGTATGCAATAAGTTATTTGCTCATATACTGAGTTATATAGTTGTAAATAAAATATAAAATATAATAAATAAATAATAAATAATTTAACGAAAAATAATTTAATTTAATTTTGTAGATAATTCAATACACCTGAATCGATTTTTGTGATTCTCTTGTGTTTCTTTTGTTTTTATCTTTTTTTTTAAATAAGAAAAAAGATACAATTGACGAACTTCATCACAATAATATTAAAATATTGAAATTAAATACTATTTATGGTTCGATAGTAACTATGAGTAATTCGGCGAAAATGGATTGTACATAAGGATTTCATTCCGTTAAAATGATAAACAGGATTTTAGGTCATGAACTATTAAACTGTCTTTAAGGAGGAATGAGATAAATAAGGATTCTGGTATTGCAGCCTGCGGCTTTTCTTTATCACAAGCTTGATCTATTACATCTAGTAAAATTTCGATCAGAAGAGAAGTTTTATCAGATACGTCACTCTGAAGTCACTGTTTATTTTTGCATTTATATCTTATTTATCATCACTGGCATATATTACAATATTATGCAAGAAAAACGTATAATTATATAATTTTAATATTATTTTAGAAAGATAACGTTATAGTTATCAATTTGAATAATGATAAACTTCAAGAAAAACTACGATCGCAATTATATTGTTAATTCAATATAATTTAATATTTATTTGCAAATATTTCACAAGTTTTTATAATTTGTAACACATACAAGGTGAATCGAAATTCTTGATATTAAAATTGATATTAAAATTGGAAAGATTTTAGAATATAAAATAAAATAGAAAATAAAAATAATAATATATTGGAAGTACTATTTTTGAAAAATTTGAATGTGAGAATTCATAAATTTAATTATCTTTAATCTTTAGATTTTTGATTTATCTTTAATTAAACTAGTAATAAATTAAAATAACTGTATATATATAAGTGAAGAGATTTTTTTTATTTAATATCTTATTTTTAAAAATCAAATTTCATTTTATTCAAAATCTATTTAATTTTCTTAAAAATAAGTTATCAAATAGAAAAAGAATAATTTCTTTATTTTCTTGATTTTACCTTTTGTTTTTTTTTTTTTTCGTAAAACAATATTTTTGATACAATTTGCTATTTTATATACTTTAAGTCATAGAATTTCTTGTATTATAAATTTTAATTCACTCTATATACATGTTAGATAATCACATTCTTTTTCGACAGAATTATCTCGTATCAAGAATTGCTTCGTTTCAGTTTTATAAATGTTTCGTATAATGAACGTGAGATTTTTAACGAAC